GTTTTGTTTTGGTTTGTTTTTTTTTGTATGCTTCACTGAAAAACTATTTTTCTAAAACATTAGCTTCTCTCCTCAGAAAGAGCATTTTGTTCTTTGTCATGATAGTTATGTACTTGAAGGCCCATAAGCCATTTCTCAGAGTGCTACTCTCAGTTCTAAATTACAAGTCACTCATACATGGGTTTGAATGCCAAACTGGCAGATAACACACATGGGCAGGCACTCGAGCAGGAACATAAAGATATATAAATGTTTCTCTGCTGGTCGGATCCACCTGACCCAAAATCCTATTTCCAAGCCATAAGTACCTAGGAAAAGCATAGGGGAAACACAACAAGGCTAGATGATCTTTCCCTTAATACACCCTCACTACATTCACCAGCTGGCATCTTGCAAGCTTGCTGAGCTGGGTCATGTTCTCTGGCTACCATATTTAATGGCCTCTGGTAGATCCCCGAGAAAAGAAGGGAACAGAAACAGCAAGAGCTAAGAGAGCATAAGGTGGTTAGTCAGCTGCCAGAAACAGTGTTCCAGTGGTGCCAGATCTGCCAAGTCTGCAGTTATTAAAACATAAACACAGCTTCTCCTATCAACCCCTTGCAATTTCATTAAGCACTGCTTTCTCAGGAAGGAAAGGAGGAACACTCTCTGGAAGGAGCGCCACCTAAATACATGTCTTCTCCAGGATGTTTTATTCATCTCCCATCCACACATACACGTCCCTGACAAACTGACAAGCACACTGACAAGCAGAGCTGGCCTCTGTGTTCTGAAATGAGTGGCTGGATGGTGAAAGGAAGTCCCCCACCATCCATCTGTGGCCTCCCTAATGGATCCTGCCACATGGCACTGACACATCAAAGACTGAGAGATTTTAAAGCACAAGTTTCCATCCCTTCTGTTCCCCAGTTCCTGCTGCTGGTGGTGGTCCCACTCTGCCACACAAAGCCCATTTCCTCCTCCTCACAGTATGGGTGAACGCGTTGTGGCTACTGCTGCAACTGATGCTGACTTGCACAGGCAAAATCTTCATACAGTATCAATTGGAAATCACCATCTGTGAGAGGTCCGGGACCAGGCCCACTCTCTGTAAGACCTGAAATGCTCTTTTGCTCCCCTGGCCTAAGCAATGTTCTACAAAGATAACCAGGGACCTGAGTATTAAATATGTAGGATGCTGCTGCCATCGTTAGCAGCTTCAGCTTTGCTTTTGGAAAGTAGCGGGAGCTCAGAGAGCTTTGATGTGTGCTCCTGGCCTTATTTACTGGTTTGAAAGTTCATTGTACTGCATCCTCTCTGTTTTCGATCTATAATTATTATTTTGGTTAATTATTGAGTCTTTTTAAGTGCAAATTATGGACACCAGGATTTTTCTAATTCATGAAAGAAAATATGTATGAACTAGATTTTAGGGTACATTAAAAATCGGAGTGTATTTCAGATGACAAGTACACTTCAGAGCAATTAGAGTATTTAATATGAACTTTCTAGGCCCAGGACCCTGAAGGGAATAAGAAAGCCAATTAAATTAGATTAAATAATCATGCCTAAATATAAAAGTGTAACACAATCCAATTGTTAAATAACAAAACTATTAAATTATGATGGAATAGTTTTGTTTAGATGTTGTCAGTGCAACAGGTAACTATTTTATTATTGAACAACAGTATTGATACTTTTTGAACCTACCTAATTTGGGCTCTAAACTCAACTGATGTAAATTTAGGAGCTGTCACTTAAATTCCAGCAGATTGCTTCTGCTGATGCACTGGCCTAGTTTTTTAATCATTTTCAGTTTATTTCATAAGAGGAACAGGACCATCAGGCAGACAGCTAGGCAGAACATCTAGAAATGTTAGTTTTATGACAACTGGTTTAACGCTGTCTAATGTGGGAAGAAGATTTTAAGCAGGAGCTCACTAAGCCCATTTTGTACAGATTAGTGCTAGTCAAGTGATTCTCTCATGTTCTCTGCTACTCCTGCCTCTTCACAGGACCAAATTTTCTCTTTTGGGAGCATTTATTTTCCATGCCCAACATGTTTCATTAACTCTTTCTACAATTTTTTCTTTCCTTGAAAACAATAAAGGGGACAGATCAGCAAATGCACAACCTGTTGACTGGGAAAACTAACAGTGACATCCTATAAACCCCATATTTTCCCTTCTAGGATGGTAGTGGAATCACAGGGCCTAAGGATGTGGGCTTTTTTCCTTGAGAAAACTGAAGGTTGGTTTCCAGGGTGTATTTGCTTATTGGCAGGGTAAAACTGGAGCCCTGTTTTCCACCAGAGATCGTTAGGAAGATAATAATCTCTGATGGCAGATTAGTAATATGGTGCATTTTGCACCAGCCAACAAGTTGTGACTGCATTCTGTTCACTGCATCAAAAGAACACTTTGTTCCCAGTTTAAGACCAGTTCTTGGTATGTTGACCATCCTTGCTTTCTCTTCTGCATGGCTCTCTCCTTACCTCTCTTTTTGCTGAAAGTCCCCTATCTATTTGCACAACCGTTCACTTGGTCCCATGGTAGGTTCCAGCAGCGTAAGAGCAAGAGTGCTTAAATGAGTAAAGCTCTATGAGCTCGGCAGGACTCCAAGAAAGTATCCCCCTTTCCTTCTCTCACCCTCCTGTCCCACACCCAGGGATCTCCCAGGCCCACACCATAAGCTTAAATTGAAAAATGAGAGGTTGCTTTCACTTACATTCACTTGATATTGCACCAGCCTAGACTGGCAAATTCTAAGAGGCATGAGATGGAAAGTAAGCCTGTGTGCAAGCATATACAGGGTACTGCAGAGAGGTAAAAAAAAGGCGATAGCTGGGGGACATGCTGCTCCTGTTAAGCCACAGCCACAATACTATTTCTATGAATGGTGGATGTATATGTGCTTTAGAAATGTCTCATTGAAATCAGAATCCAACCTCAAGTGCTGCATTGGTACGACCAGCAAGATTAGGTCTGTAAATGAGGGAAGGAACTGAGAAACAGAAAAGTACTAGTAACAACTGGAAAGAACAGAAAGAAGAAGAGGTCCTACAGTCCATTTTCTCTCCAGAGCTATTTTTTTCTTAAAAATCCCATTGCCTTTCCTCCTTAACTATGTGGCATGTGTCACAATCTGATTATACTCATTTATATCAACATAACCCTTCCACAACACAGGTCTGTGCAAATTACGTGCATAAGAAACTGTAGTTCATTTCCATTTCAGTAGAGCTTGTTAAACAAGCAACATTATTTTGTAGCAAAGGGAAAAACAATTTAGTGGAATGCACTCCTAGTATAGGAAGTACTTAACATCGTATTTGGGTCGAAACTTTTTCTGTCAGAAATGTCATAACCCCGTAAGAAAGAGAATTAAAATCCCGTTATTTTAATTTACATCTAGCCATGAGATAAGTAAAGTTATCATTGAAATTCTAATTAAATAGGATGATTGACTAAGGTAGGACATCAAAGAAGAGAAGTGAATATGATAAGTCAAAGTCTTATTAATTAGTCTGCGTGGAAGAAATTCCTGGGACGTCAAGCTGAGGCTGCTGCAAGGAGAAAAAAAGCAGACAAGAAAATGTGTGTTTCTTTGAAGTTAGGAACTGAGATAGTGATGGAGGTAATTGTGTCTGACTGGATCCAGTAATGAAGAGCTGTAAATCAGACCTAGGAATCGGAGGAAAGATTCTAGTAACGAATGTGGCTGCCCCCCTGCTGCGAAGAAACAGAATGCAGAGCTGACTAATTGACCCAGTCTATCTCCCAGTAGCTCTCTGTTATTATTTATTAATTTTTAATTTCTGAATTATTTACGTTCTGGGAAATTATTTTTGACAGCCTGTTAGGCTTGCCAAAGTTAATGGAGGATGAAAGGACCGGTACTAGAATTAGCAGGGATGTAGTCACAGGCTACTGAATTTAATGATTTTGGAAGGGAAAATTGATTTCACACAGCGTGTCACTTTATACTACTTTAGGGATACACCAGCTATTTGATTAATTGAGGAATAACCAACTCAAAGTATATTTGAAGTGTAAATGAATCACAGTGCTCAGCTGTTTATTTTTCCCCTTTTCTGATGAGAACACTGAGTTTGCTTAAAGTTGCTGATTAAAACCAATACAGGTAGGCCCCATACTCACACCTGCTTACTTGCTCCTGCCTTGGAGAAAAAAATAATAAACTTCACCATCTGGAGGAGACATGCAATTCTCCATCTCACTTGGGACGGAGTTCGTCCTTTCCACACAACGCCTAATTAAACAGGCTTTGTGTGTACTCCCCCTCCCTCTGCTGAAAGTGTTTTTAGACAGAGAAGGATACTGAGCTTGCAGGCAGCTCATGCAGCCAAATGTGAATTCTGCACAGTGGTGGCTCCTGGCTGCTTTTCCTCCACTCCCTAAGGTGAAGCATGGGTCCCTGGGCTACGACACCTCCGAAGTCACTTCTCCTGGTACAGTGGTGTTATATTGGTCTACACATCTACAGGTGCGGAGCAATGAGAAAATAAAGGGGCTCTGCAAGGCTCTTCCAGGCTGTGAAAGTTGTACTTCATCCTCAGTGTCAAATGTAAGCTGAATCCTGTCTGCTGCTCACGTCTAAGCCTTCTAGCCATCAAGGGCATGGAGGCAATCTTTTCCCAGCAATGAGTGTAATGCTGTATGCAGCTCACATCTCCAGAATGATTCACACTGGAAATGTCTCCAGAGCTGCTCGGGATCATCACTTGCTCCTTCCTCCGACAGCAGCTGCCTGAGGCAAAGTGTATGGCTGCATTTCATCTGCCATACAGGGAGGATGTGCCTCCCAGCATCCTGCACCCAGGATCAAAGGGACAAAGCACCCTTGCTGACAGGGCTTCCTATGGCAGAATTGGGTAAATCGTTTAATTAAGGGCAGTGTAATCAGCCACGTGGGCACTGGTGGTAGTTACCATGATTTTGGATTAGGATGGCACAGTGTGATGTCCAAAAGGTCAATCATGCATCAGGTGCTTTAAAAAAAAAAAGTGTTCATGATTTAAAGACACATTAAAAGGTATAGGGAGGTTTTGCTGCTTAGGTTCTCTAAGGGGTTTATACTTCAGTTAAACATCTTGCTAGGTTATTTTCCTGAGCACTTCAGGAGTGCTAGGAACATTTCTTTGTGATGTTTTACTGACAGGAACATGCAAAGTTAGCCTGTTCTTTTCTGTTGCTTTTTGGATTTACCAGAGGCAATTAGCTATGCAAGAAAGATCAGCTACAACAGGGTGTTAAAAGAGATGTGTGACCTGTGGCCTCTGCTCCAGGGATTGCTACTTTATCACTTTTTTTAATCATGTGCAGACTGGACTGGCTCCTAGAACAAAAAGCTTGATTCTGTGATTGTCACTAAAACTTTCTAAAGAAAAAATACGGTACATGATGTTGAGAAAACAACACAAATTATGATTTACAAGATTGCACTTTTTGTTTGTAATAAAATTGCATTACTGAAACTACACTCACAGCCATGCAACTCTGAAGAGTTCAATTCACTGGTGGCAGAATTGAGTGCCCCAAATTTCACAGAAAATGTCCTATATATTTAGATGATGGCTTAAGAAACAATGAGTCATATCTTCAGATGTTACAGAACAATTAGGCAACTTATGTTACTTGAAGATCTGCCTTACAGTTTTAAAATGGTCAGTGGATAACCAAATACATTCTATATGTATATGTAGAAATTAACCCTAAAATATTTACATTCAATAAATGCAGCTAACTAGTTGGATGAAGATGATTTAGTGTGCTCTGCTGTTCTATCCTGGAATGAATCCATCACAGATCTGGCTTCTCCCTATTTCAATATTAAAACAAAAGGGATATGCTTGCAGTGCAGCACCCTGGGAATTCAGCTCAAAAGTCCAATTAACAACAACTAATTCCCCATACTGCCTATTTACCCCTAAGAGTTGGCTAGATATAATAAGTCATGCATTTTACATTTAAGCTTTTAATGCCCAGAGGATAACAAAAATCTATCCTGATCACTTTTTATTTTCATCATGTGAAGACAGAAGAAATCATCCCTCCTTCCCCTTCAGTTAAGTGTATCCATATCTTGGCACTAAGTCTACGAAAGGAGATGTGCCCTGCCTTCTACCTACCCTACTTAGAATCATAGAATCATAGAATAGTTAGGGTTGGAAAGGACCTTAAGATCATCTAGTTACAACCCCCCTACCATGGGCAGGGACACCTCACACTAAACCATGCCACCCAAGGCTTTGTCTAACCTGGCCTTGAACACCACCAGGGATGGAGAATTCACAACCTCCCTGGGCAACCCATTCCAGTGCCTCACCACCCTAACAGGAAAGAATTTCCTCCTTATAGCCAATCTAAACTTCCCCTGTTGAAGTTTTGACCCGTTACCCCTTGTCCTATCACTACAGTCCCTAATGAAGAGTCCCTCCCCAGCATCTCTATAGCCCCCCTTCAGATACTGGAAGGCTGCTATGAGGTCTCCACGCAGCCTTCTCTTCTCCAGGCTGAACAGCCCCAACTTCCTCAGCCTGTCTTCATACAGGAGGTGCTCCAGTCCCCTGATCATCCTCGTGGCCCTTCTCTGGTCTTGTTCCAACAGTTCCATGTCCTTTTTATGTTGAGGACACCAGAACTGCACACAATACTCCAGGTGAGGTCTCACAAGAGCAGAGTAGAGGGGCAGGATCACCTCCTTCGACCTGCTGGTCACACTCCTCTTGATGCAGCCCAGGATACGGTTGGCTTTCTGGGCTGCAAGCGCACACTGAAGCCGGCTCATGTTCATTTTCTCATCAACCAACACCCCCAAGTCCTTCTCCGCAGGGCTGCTCTGAATCTCTTCTCTGCCCAACCTGTAGCTGTGCCTGGGATTGCTTCGACCCAGGTGTAGGACCTTGCACTTGGCATGGTTAAACTTCACGAGGTTGGCATCAGCCCACCTCACAAGCGTGTCGAGGTCCCTCTGGATGGCGTTCCTTCCCTCCAGCATATCAGCTGAACCACACAGCTTGGTGTCATCAGCAAACTAAAACTTCTGTTTTAAGTACATCTCAAAACAATGCAGAATTATTCACCTTCAAATGATGGTTTACTGCTCATGCACTGGACCAAGCTTACTACCCTTTAGACTGTCACACTGTACTGTATGCAGCATACACTCCCCTCACACTGGTGATAGCTCACTACAGGAGGTATCGAGGTAGTGCCCTGCTATGAACATATTTTAAAAGTTAGAACTGCAACATAGTATAAGTGTTTATTACCATGCTATAACATGCTAAAGATTAGGCAAATACTTTCAACAACTAGAATGATCTTCTGCAGCTCAACAACAGAATGATCTTCTGCAGCTGCCAACAAAATATTTTTGCAACACTGTACTTTGCTGTGCATGGCAAAAACCCCAGAAGGTGTTATCTTTTCTCAAAGCTGTGATGAACTTGGCTTATGCTCAGGATCAGACTGGCTGTTCCTTATGGGGGTTTCTGAGTTGCATATTTGCAGATTCAAGGCCAAATTTCCAGAGGGGCTCACAGCCAGCTTTCCAAATGCTCAGCTGCCAAGCTGTGAGCCAGGCCCAGGAATCAGGACAACTGAATGGGAACTGAGCTGTTATGAACATCCCAGACTAATTGGCTGATTCCTCTCTTAGCAGCTCTGCTTGGGACAGAAGTTGAGACAGCTGAATGCAGTATTTCTGACATACTCAGATACGATTTTTAGTACCTGTTTTCTGTACAGAGCTGGCAGCTACAAGAAGGGGCCTCCTCCAAACTTTTGAAGAAAAGTGTTGGCTGCATCTTGTTCTTGAGCAGAGTTTTAGATTGTTCTGCACCCTCCTCCCTGTGGGCAGCAAAAGGAGCAAAAGTCTGACACACTGGTCCTGAAACAGGGCACTATGGAAACAACATGAATCCTGAAACAGGGCTCTGTGGAGAGGAATACAGTACCCACGTTTGTGTAACACCCCATGGTCTAACTTCCTGGTTGCTGGGAAGCAAAGGAGGATGGCAGCAGTAATGATTCTTTCCCTTCTATAGCCTCTAGATTTTAAGTGCTTTGAGGAGATGGAAGGCAAGCATTAAATTTTGATTAAAGGGACACTGCCTACTCACATTAAGCTTAGAATTTAGTGGCTTGTAACAGGCAGCTGTAGGTCGATTGGAGCTTGCATATTGGGTGTAAATATTTCTTTGCCACAGGGTGAAGACAAGCATCTTATCTTCAAGCCAAGAACAGAAGACATCAAAACTTAACTTGATTAGAAACAAAAATAATATGGTCCACTCTAGTTTTGCTGCTGAGGGAGAAAGAGTGCAGATGGGAGATATGTAGCTTCCTAGATGTGTAACAGCTCACCAGTTAAGTTTGGTGTGTGAGAAGCTCATTTGTTTGTTTGTTGTTTAATGTGTTTTTTAACAGTGATAAAAAGCCACACTAAAGTCCTATTTTAAAGAACTGGCTAGGGACTAGAGTGAAAGGAAAGGTTACTGCAGGTAAGCTGGTGCAGGGACTAAGCTGCATCTAGTAAATGCCTTTGCATCTGCTTTTCTTTATGGTGAATACATAATGAAGGTGAAGCCATCTTGTGTTTAATATATGGTCTATTGCAGCTGATGAGCGAGTGGCTTATTAGTTTCAACAATCAGAGGTACTTCCTGCAACTCATTTTGCCTGTGACAGGAGGCAGATCCAAACCAAATTTTCCAAGGAGAGAGCCTAAAAGACAGCACCTCACTGTAGCTTCAACACACACAAACCCTATAGAAAGAATATTACCCAAAACTTCTCATTCTAAGAGAAACAATGGCAATATCAATCCAGATTCTCACCTGATAAAAACCAGCTCCATGAAAAGAGCTATGCTGATTTATAATAGCCAAAGCTCTGACCCCACATCCCAAAGTGTTAGCTGCAGCCACAGAAATCTACTGCAGTAAAGGTGTAGCTCAGTTTGGTCTTGCCTCAAGCAAAAGCTGGGCTGCTGCTGCAGATTTATCTGTTGTCTTTGCAATATTTACTCAAACAAGCCTGTCAAGGGAACAGGTTAAAGAAATCAAAGTGAAAGACAACAATGGCTGTGATTTTGTACTTCATAGAGTATGAAAGAGTGAAGCAGACCTCAGATAACCATCCCTGTGGCTTCAGATACACTTTGGGCGCAATAATGCCTCCCCCCAGGGTCCATGCATCAGGTGAGAGGTGCTCCCCAAAGCTGTAGTGTTAAGTATATATGATATGTACGAGGACAGATGAAATAAGGCCATGCTACTGCACTAGAGATGGTATACCGAGTACAGAAGAGTGCCGGAACACAAATTGAAAACTACTTGTTAAACAAGGTTAATTTGTTCTCCTTCCACAGTGTAAAATGGCTTCAAACACTTCTAAACTAGGTCATTTGACTGCTCAAGAAATACATGGTGCTAGGCAGCTGTCTTTAGCAACAAGTTTATTGGAGAGTTTGATTGCATCCCAAAAGCATGCTAGATATTTCTGACCATATCAAAGAAAACTCAACTATATTACCAAGGCACACTAATGAGGTGGTTTGTTTAATTGAAATCCTTTAAGTTTCCATGTAGTACAGCATGAAAAAATCATTATTTTCATTAGATGAGCTACTCGTTAGCTGAAAATCTAAGTTACAAAATATCACAGTGTGAGATAATAAACGCATTGTAAAATGCATTAAATCCAGGTTATTAAAAGGAATTTCTACTTAAAATATATAGCCGTGTAATTTGAGCATAATTCCTAGTATTATGAATCAGGTCTGGTCCTTTGAAAAACATAGCCCAACCCAAAGGACCTTATTGTGCTCTCATTGCAATCACTGTCAAAACTCTGAGCTATTATAGCCCAGATAAATGACCTGATTACTCTGTGTCACCATTCTGTAGTAATGGGTCTTGCATATAACAGTTAGAAGTTCTAAGACTCACCTAAAGGTCCCAATTTTGGTCTTGAATTCATCACTGCTCTGTTTGATGCCATCATTAAAAGCAAGTCAGAAAGCAGTTTATAGCTTGTATTTTTAGAGTCAAATGTTTACTTAAAAGTATAACACTTGGAGAATTCGTGAGCTTTATGAAAGAGCAAACATCTTCCATGTATTTGGTGAGAAGTAGTTTAAGAACCATATTGAGTCCATGATAAATTTGGGTGAAAAAGGAAAAATGGCTGGAAATTACCTCTGGAACAGATCCAGTCCAACTTTTCTGCTCAAAGGAGAGTCAGCTGGAGCACTTTGCTCAGGACTGTGTTGAGCTGGGTTTTGAGAATCTCCAGGGATGGCAACTCTACAACCTCCCTGAGCAACCTGTCCAAGTGTTTGACCACTTTCACAGTAAATATCTTATGTTTTGGATTTCCGTTATTTCAGTATTTCCTGCATTTCTGCCTCTGTGTTCTTTACACCACATTGCTCAGTATTTATACAGATTGATAGAATTCCTCCTGAGCTTTCTTAAGGCTAAACAAGCTCAGGGTCCTAATCTGCATACCAAGAGTTGTTCCTGATCACTCCAATTAAACACTGATCTGAGATGAGTAGAAAATTGTATTTTGGTTACTGATTCACAGATGAGCCTGGTCCATGTGAAAAAAAAAAAGTTAAAAGGAAAAAAAAAAGGAAAAAAGAGTAATATAAAACTCTGGTGCAACTATTGCTTTATGTAGTTTTACAACAGGGCCAAGTTTTATCCTTATTCACTGCACACACACCTCCCCTCCTCTTTTCTATGTCTGAGATTAATGAGGGTAATTTGTCCTCAATTCTCATATCAGTGGTTCATTCCTAACTTATTGCTACACATACCTCATCTCACACTTTCTCTCTCCTGCCTTGATGAGGGATTAGTTCACCAGCACTTTGAAGGCATACTTACAGCATTACTCTGTCACTAATCTAGCCAGCACAGGTCACCATGGTTGTGTAGAAACAGCCCCAGGTTTTAGCAGCCACATTTTAATTCCTGAGGAGCCCTGGGCATGCGTTCAGGTTACCTCCACATGTTGGCAACCAGTGATGTTGACACGTCCTCACAGCTATTGCTCTCCCTGCCAGCTAAAGCCAAGTGAACAACACTGTACAGTGCCACCAAGAGCACATGGACATGGGAGGAGGAGATACAGCAGGACTGCTGAAAGATCCCTTTAGCCAGCAAGCCAGCCAGCAATTCAGGAAGAGTGTATAGATTACAGATGGTGCAATAATTTCACAACTGGCCAAATTTTGAGCCTAAGCAATACTTACATGTAGATGAGCCTATATTAAAGGCTGCCAATGTGACAGCAGAGAAGGCCAATACTGAGGCTTGCCCAGGAATGGCAGGCTGCCCCTATACAGCCACCTGCTGAGATCACTGATGCCAGAAATGCAGTAATCCTGGTAAGGCAGGTGCCTGGGGGGATCAGGTCCTTAGTCAAAAACAAAACAGAAGCCCAGGCCACCTTTATACACCTTGCAAAAACCCCACTGCTATCAGCTGCAGACTGTGAACTCCAAAGGCTTGAGCACCAGAGGAGCTGAACCCCATGCTCCTGCCTCTTTCCTCAGTTATGAAAACAGACATTTCTTCCTTAACAGAGGCAAAACTGCACATCTCTGAGTTACCTCTTGCTTCACTCATTTTGTGTGGATTTTGTTAAACATTTTTATAAGACTTTCCTTTTTTTCTTTTTTTTTTTTTGGTTCCTACTGGGGCCAGGAGGGATGTGGCTTGTAGATTAGTTAGCTCTCTTTAATAGGGCTTTTCTTATCCCATTTAAGTAGAATAAAGAAGCTTCATTTGTTAGCTTAAAAAAAAAAAAATCAAGACTTTAATTCTTGATCATTGCTCCCAAGAGAACCCAGTTGGAGTTCTCTCATCATCACTGATCAAGTCTGAACTTTTTTTGTTTGCTATTCAATTTCATTTGCTTTCATCATTTCAGAGCACTAACAGGCTTTCAGCCCTGCTGAAACAGAGGATGAGACTTTAACCATATTGCGCTAAAGTCCCTGTAGCAATGGAAAACTGCTATATAGCATTCAATCATGTGCTGTCCCTTTCATAAAACCTGCATTTACACTGAATTAAAATTAATGTGCTGACTATTGTAATAATAATAATAATAAATATTCCATGTGTCTCTTTCTCCTTTTATATTGTTTGCCTGTTTTAGAGAGACTGTCAGTTAATTTCTCTGATCTCAGGCCAGAGAGAAATTTTATCTCAGACCAGTATAAAAATCCTTCTGATTACTAAACTGCTGTAGATCACCATCTGGATCTACTGCGAAAATGAAAACCAGGGAAAGAAGCTTGCTTATGCTACAGATAAACTTGCTCTGATGTTTTATAAGTGTGTTGTTTTTTGTTTTTTCTTAAGGGATCCCAAGGATGAGTTTACAAAGGAGATTAGCATAGAAAATCTGGAAAGCAGTTTTCCAGTTAAGATACATCCATCCAGGCCCGTTCTCTGATTGCTTGTGCCTGTCATCTCCTAAGACACGAGATGCCAGAGTGGGATTTTTATGAGTAAAATCTTTCCTGGATTTGCTCTGTGACTGCTCCTTGAGAATGACTGTTACCCAAACACTTAGTCCTTGCACAGGGAGAAAACCGTTGTGATAAACCGATCAAATAAAAGCCACTGCTGGACCATTCCCAGTAAGAGTAATGCAAAGCCTATCTCACAGCTACCATTTTTGTTCTTCAGGGTATGGGGAAAAAAAACAGTTTTCAGAGAGGGTCTGGGTAAGGCAGTGAGACCCTGAAGTAGTCTATCTGCTCAGCTTCTGCTGCTTTCCAGCTTAGTTTCTGTGCTCATGGTACTCATCTGTACTTTTCCTTTTCT